TTAAGAAAGGATCTGACCACCCAATTAACACCTTCAACGAATTCGGCTTTCTGGAGGAAATGGAGTACCAGGTAGCTATTTCCAAATCCTCCAAGATCTATATTAAAGCTGTCAAACCACCTTAGGTTAAATAAATAGTCTAACTATTTATCTATGATCCCTCACATATCTCTATCTATGTTAGTAATAATGGACGCAATGATCCAATGGAATTGTAGAGGTTTTCGATCCAATATTGATGAAATTCTTCGAACATAACCCTAGTGTAATATGTCTTCACGAAGAGCATACTAGAGTCACAACAAATAGCAATTTCAGAAAATATTCATTGTTTAATTGCTTCGATCCTGATAGCAACAAAGCAACCGATGGAGTTTCTATCCTGGTTGACAATCGAATTTCGCAAAGGAAAAAACATGAAATACAGACCTCCAGACAACAGCTGTTAGTGTTACACTCCATAGAACGCTTACAGTATGCTCTATCTATCTCCCTCCAAACTCTGATTTTACGAACAATCAACGAGACCAACTCTATCGCAACTCCCACTCCAATTCATACTTTTGGACCTTGAACCTTGATTTAACTTTACGACACCAATCGTTGTTACTCGATTTCGAATGGACGATGCATGACGATCTCTGTGGAAGCGACCAATTTCCAAAATTTCTAAGGAATTGTGGATTCACAAAGAGCGATCATGTTCCCCATTTGAAATTATATAAAGCAGATTGGAGTAAATTTAAACATTTTAGTACCAAACCTCTCAACGCCATTGATTTCCTGAATTTAGAAGACCCAAGATAGCCGAAGAATGTATACAAAAGGCTAATAGAATACACCACAAAAAGTCTTGGATTAATGAAGATTGTAATATAATTATTAGAAATAGGACAATCCCACAAGAGATAGCTTAAACAAATATAAAGGACAAAAGCCCGTCGAGCTATATATACCTTTACATAAGATATTGTCTTGGAGATCGTATGTGTCTAATCTAAATTCCAATACATCCACCTCAACAGTATGGAATATGATTAAACGAATCAGTGGTAAAACATTCAAAACAATGGGATATCTGAAAACTAATGGAAAATTAGCCACATCGAAATTTGATATTGCAAAATTATGCTTTAGGATCTGCTTTTTCCTAAATTTCGTCTGTAAATAACAATTTCAAAGTATTTTATAAATTTAATACCATACGAAAAAAAGCAAAGTTGAAGTTCTCTTCCGAAAACAATGACATTTACAACCAACCTTTAACAATGTTAGAACTTCGAGAATCATTTGTTGAAAAATCACATGACTCTTCAACAGGACCTTGTAATATTCACTATCAGTTCCTAAAACATCTACCAGTGTCATCATTAGGAAAAATTCGTGATATCTTTAATTGATTTTTAGATCGGGTAATGTCCCAAAGTCATGGAAAAAGGCAACTGTGATTCCTTTCCCAAGCAAGGTAAAGATACGGCAGATCTCTCCAATTACCGTCCATTTGTGTTTGTAAAACTCCAGAGCGGATGATAAATTCAAGATTAATTTAGTATCGGGGATCCAATAACATAATCGCATCCCTACAAAGCGGTTTTAGTTCTAAGCGAGGTACCAACGATCATTTGGTTAGGTTTGAAACATTTGTAAGTGAGGCTATTCTACAGAAGAACGTGGTTGCTTTTTCTGCGATTTGGAAAAGGCTTATGACACAATGTGTAAATGCGGCATAATAAAAGATCTGCATAATATCAGTATTAGAGGAAACCTACTAAATTTTGTTTCAAATTTTCTATCAGACAGAATACTTCACGTCCGAAATGGAACCAATATTCATCAGCAGGAAAAAGGTGTACCAAACGGAACCACTAACTCGGTTACACTTTTTGGACTTAAAATCAACAGTAATGTCAAAACATGTTCCCTTTCAACGGAAGGTGCTCTTTATGTCGATATCGTCGTTAAATGCTATTAATCTAAGCATATGAATACCATTGAAAGACAACTACAACAGTGTTTGAATCGACTCCAAATTTAGGCAGATAAAAATGGATTTAAATTTTCACAAAGTTTGAACGCATTTTTCAGTCAAATGCGTAGTCAACACGACGATTTAAATCACTCTCTTTGTGGTGTATCCATTCCAGTTGTCGAGCAAACCAAATTCTTAGGTGTAATAGTAGACAGGAAATTGTCGTTCCTTCCAGATATCGTAATATATTCAAGCTAAATGCCTTAAAACACTGAATACTCTAAACAAAAAGGTGTCCCGCACTGGTTGTGAAGCTGATAGAAAGGTTTTGCTAAGACTTTATAGAGCTCTTATTATATCTAAATTAGACTACGGTTCCATTGTGTATGTATCTGCTAGACATTTATATATGAACTTACAAGACACTGTTCATCACATGAGTTTGAGGCTCGTTCTCGGAACCTTTAATACCACACCTACTGTAAGTCTCTATGTAGAGGCTAACGACACATGACTATATAGGCATCGAAACAGAAATAAATTGGCTTTGCAATACACCTTTCAGCTTATTCAAATCATTCAAATCCTGCTATTTCACTTGTATTTGATCCAAAATATAAAAACCTTGTTTCAAAACAAACCAAAGACCATTCCACCATTCAGTATTCGGATTTCCGCTCTTTTACAAAACACAAATATTTTTTGACCAAATTCAGTCATTTGAAACGATATAAATTCCACCTTAGCTCTTTAATTAGTCTGAAGTTGACTTTTCACTACATGAAATGGTTAAATCAGAAAATGACAGTTGCACTTTCCGTTCATCCTTCTCGGAACTGCACTTCAAATATAAGAAAAAAATATTCTACGGTTAAATACTGATGGTTAAAAAGATTTGAAGAAGATCGCGCGACTTTGAACACATTCAAGTAAACAAAGTATTGAGAGCTGTGATCTATTCAGGCTTTCTTTCTGTATTACAAATTCTTAACAATAGAAATGTCAAAAAAAAAAAAAAAAAAAAACCCAAACCCCTGGGTTCCTGGGAATACCAGGCAATGAAAAAGCAGATCGTGCCTCAAAGGAAGCATACTTGCTACCACCTGGTGGTTTTACATATCATTTTACTGATTTTAAACAATTGATCAAACAGCTCCGTGGCAGGAGGAATGGAATCAATATGCCAATAATAAATTGCACTCCGTAAAACTATCATCGGTGAATGGTCTCCATGCTATAGAGTCAACCACCTAGACGAAGTTGTCCTTGCCCGTCTTTTGATGGGCCAAACATACCTTAAGCATTTATATGTTGACAGGCGAAGATAATCATCGGTGCATAGAATTTGATGAGCCTTTGACCGTTAAACATTTTTATTGGACTGCATTGTCCTTCTGTCTACCGGAGAAACTATTTATCGTAACGTTTCAAGTCTAAAAACCATTTCTGAAACGGTCTATATTATAAATCATGAATTATCATTTTAATCTTTTATGATGATATAACGATTTTCAATTTTTAGCATTTGTTTTTTTTTTTTTACCTTTTATCTGTTGACGTGCCGTTAAGACTGTAATAATGGTAATTAATCAAACAATTTTTAACAGCTCAGTGGTAGGAGGAATAGAATTATTATACTGATAATGAATTGTATTCCGTAAAACCAATCATCTGTGAATGGTCTGCATGCTATAGAGACAACCACCAGTTGATGGCCCTAATGACCTTTTATGTGTTGACTGGCCGTTAAGATTGTAATAATAATTATAATAATAATTTCATGCATATAACATTATTGTATGGCACGTGTATTTGAATGATCATCATTTTGACATGTAATTTGAAAACATTATAGCTTAGAATATACATGTCGTTGAACAAAGGAATATAATATTGTTATGAGATGATCCAAACATTCTCAGTAACGTACGTAACAGTGGAAGCATCGAATCGTTGAGTCTTTCACCAGTTGATGTCCCTATTTAATGTGTTGACTGGCCGTTATGATTGTAATTATAATGATGATGATGATAATAATATTAGTCGCGATATAATCCTTGTCTATATACTCGTAATACGATATTGTTTATCTTGTTTATATTTCGAAGTTCGTTCACTCACTCGAGGTCAGATAAGAATTGTTTTGTCGTCATCTGAGCATGATGTATAATGAAATAAAAAAGAGAAATAGTTTATGAAAATGATTGTCTTGTTTTGACATAGCTGGTCGTTATATATGACAGTAATATATAATGATAATGAATGGCATAACGTGACAGATCAACACTTGTTTACACCAACGTATAAAAATATCCATTGCTTATTATGACTAAACAGAACAAAGTTTCTCTTTCCACAAAATAGTCGGTAAAGTGGAACATTGTCGTTTTTTGATACACAATAATCATGCCATAATTGACGTACAATGGATGCCATAAATATTCCTTAAATCACTGTTAAATATTACATCATAAGAACTAACATTTAAGAACGTGAGTTTTTTGCTATGTGTGTCCCAAATTACAAAATCTGTCATCAATTTTGTATTTCAGATCGTTAGAAGCTTTTTTACATTGTCTGGATTTTGAAATTGTTTCAATAATTAATTCGGTCAATTTTGTAAATTATTGATCACCAGTATGATTGGAATGGTTGATAAATTACGTTGTCATGTTGCTTTGTTCTTGTTCAGACAATTGAATGTCCCAGACATGTGTTTAAGTCTTCCAATGACCTTTGCGGTGCGAGTACGCTGTGGCAACCCAAAGGCAAACTAGAACTATTGTGATGTCTGCACGAGTGCAATACCAGAGGGTATTATCTTTCGGGAACCAAACACTAGGAGGATGTCGGCGAAAGTTCAAAGTAGCTGAATAAATCATGCATGATGTGTCGGAAATATGTAACATGTGAGACTATATCAAAGCCTGCACATATAAGAGAGTCAATGCCAAAACGGTTGCAGTCTGTATCGAAACCTACAGCCTACACTAGCATTACACTTCCAGAGCTGGATTGTCTATTTCCTGCGATGGATGAGGACGACGAGATAGCTATAATCGGTATTGGCTGCCGATTCCCTGGCGCTAATAACATTAAAGAATTCTGGAATGTTTTGGTAAACGGAGAAAATCACGTGAAAGAGATACCAAGGGACAGATGGAACGTTGACGCTGTCTTTGACCCCGATCCAGACGCATATGGAAAAACATACGTCCGCCAAGCGGGACTTTTGTCTAAGTAAGTTTTAAATAAGGTAGACGAAATATTGGAAGTAATGCATCCATCGAACTCATATGATTTTATATCTATAATGCTATATTTTGTAACCAGCACGCATAATTATTTCGCACGCTTTACCTTGTTCACAAATGCGAGACATATCCAGTTTATATAGGAGGCACTGACGCCTTATAGAAGTAAAAATATCGTTTTCTGACCGGGATGAGATCCTAATCTTGTATGCTAAACAAATTTGAAGGCATTGTCCATCTTTAATTATTCAGGTACACACACACACTTAATATTGACCGTAGACAAATGTACCAGTCGTACAATTGAGAGCACGCACTCAATCGGCAATATAATACAATATGTCCTTATTGTTGTCTATATTATGGAAGAAAGGATGACTGACTTCTTCGGAAATGTTCAGCAACAAAATACAGATTACTTGTATCTACTTGAGAAAAAAATAATATCATGATAATATCTAAAAAAAATCATTCCATGTTAGCAAATGCTATCTGCAGGAATTAGAGTATAATTACTATTATTCAGAACAAGTTAACTTGTCTGAATTTATTTCAATTAGTTAAATTTACTTTTGTTCTGTGAGATGGATTCAAAACATCGTGCTTATCAGACATAAAGTTCTCTTTTTTAACAATTAGGTATTCAACTTCATAGGAATGTGTATTCCGTAAAAGCCGAAATTATATTGTCAGAGGTTTCTAGCATCATCCCTATAGTTTTCGTTTATTTCAGCAAACATGTCTATGCATTTGAATATAACTAGGAAACTCCAGTAAAGATGAAAGATGCTTCTGGTATCACGCCAGTTATATCTGGACAGTTGACTCTGTAGCCAAATCTCCAATTTTATTTCACATTCTTCGGGTTCAGATCTAATTTCATTACATATATTTTACTACTAATTTTTGGGCAAAATAATCTTTTATAATGTCATGTTGAATATTGTCGTTACATCGGTTATCGAGGATACAGCATACATCGGTACATTATTCACTTTATTGCAAATAAGCTGAAGAGTATCAAGGCATGTATGAAGACTGCTTAATTAGTAAACACTTGTTATACATATAAATAGATGCATATTCAAAGTGTAAAACACTTATACTAGCTGTCAAAAGTCAAGTAATTTATAATGAATTTTTCATCGTTTTATATATATATATATATATATATATATATACATTACTGTTAAATGAATATAAAAAGCATCAATGCAACGCCATATTTGTAAATTTAAGGAAGAAAAATATTAATATATTTAACGAGCTATAAACAATGAGTATTCATGTGTGAGTCTTGATTACATGAAGAGGGATGCCCCTGTCTGCGAGGTTATGCAGTCGTACACATGTATATTTAATATTTTTTTACCTGTTAAATGCATTCCAACAAGTGAACCTATTATATATTTTGTTTAGTACATATGGTATATCATGCATAAAAATTCTATTTTTCATCATCCCTATTGCATGTATTAGAGGAAGTCTTTCTTAGAGGTCTTGTGCACTTACATGGTTTATTTGATTTAAATCTAGGAGTTAGTGCAGTTAGAAACTAAACATTGTACCATTGATACCAAATATACAGTGTCATAGTAACACTGAAGCACTAAATGTGTCGTTTGGTCTTGATGTAAAAACCAACATTTTTAATATGATTACATTGTCACCAAGCTGCAAATAATTGCAACTATTTCCACTATGCTCTATATCGTATCCTCTGTGTTGAGAAAACCGTATCGATAGCTCCCAAAAAAATAGGTTTGAGTTATGTATTTTCCAATATCTTTAATACTCGCTATCAATTTCATTCATTGTTTTAGATTGTGTTGTTCATAGAATTTTCTACTATGATTTTCCGATCGCTTATTATTAATTATCCCGTTATAAACAAAAACATAAAGGTTCTCATTCAATGAAACAGTGGTGTGTTGATGTCGGGAATGTGGAAGCAGAGAATCTGGTAATGAAAACCGTACAGACTTGTGATATTAGGTTCATTCTAGGAATGATATTTTTGATGCCGGTGTATGTCTCAACTGAGGACAAACCAAGTAAAGAGGTACACTTGTTTGTTCCCATTTTTTTTTTGTTTTTTTTTTGAAAGTCTCTTTAATATATTTAACGACCAAATATTATGCTCTTTCTAACAATAAAATTTCGGAATTTGTCATTTTCAAAAGCTTGCAATCGTTTAAAGCGGACTGATAAATATTACTTGTGATAAGCTTCGCTACTTTAAGATGGTTAAAAGCACAAACATTGGCTCCAGAGTGGACAGAGGCATCTTACTGGATCTTATTAATCATACGCACGTACTGTTCTCTCGAAATACTTCTGTTAAGAATTTCATGAAATTCCAGTATATATAATATCACCAACATGAGGCATAATACAATTATAAAGATGAATTTGTTTTGGGTAATACACAAAATTTGCTTCTTTGGTATTTAAAAGTTACAAATGTGCTTTTTAAAGCAAAGGACAAAATGCCATTAAACTATAAAAATTACAAAATATGTAAAAAGAAATATTTACACGTAGACACGAAGTAAGCGTCTCATCAACGACACCCGCCATGTAATCATTGGTCAATCAAAGTAAGTAATGTCACGTTCTCAAATGGGGACAAGGTATGATAACAAAAACTAAGTACATCTGTAATAACCCATGTTCCATTTTAAGTATAAAGAAGGGAACGTTTATCCATTAAATGGACAGCAACTTTCTACATCTGTGCACATACTGTTTAGAAACACCCAGCGCTTGATGTTAAGATTTAATTCGTCATTTTGTACTAAGAATCAACTGTAGCACTAAACGCTCTGTTGCTATCTAATAAAGCAACATTGACGTTAGGACCGTATTCAATTACGTTACTTCTGCATTCTTGAAGACTGAATGACGTATAAACTATACGATTTTTTTGATAAGCAATATGTTGTGGATTTGGAAACAGCTTTATCAAACTTTTTTGAATTAGACAGGCAGCGATGTTAATTAGGGTAAATTATAGTATAGTTCGTTACATCTGTCTATTCCATTAGACTGGTCGGACTTATTTAAAGCCTCGCGTAAATATATTTATATATATAAAAGACGTTTTGTTTTCGTTGTATTTAGAAATCTTGAAACTAAGATGATTTGTCGTTCTGTAGTTTTACCTCAGAGAGTGATGAGTGGTGAGTTTCGAGAAACAAAACCACCTCTATTCAGATTTATACTTGAGACATCCAAACCGGCTAGACCTTCTGTGTTACAAATACAATTCTGAATCTACCTGAATATATCTTTTTCGGTTACAAAATGATAGAAAAGAGGAAAGAAACACAGAAATAACAAAAGGAAAATTTTCTTTACAACAGTATGAGATTTAAGATGATTCATTTCCGAGCCTTGCATTTGTTGTTTACATAAATAATGTACATAAGTGTCTTTACATCAAGACTGGTCACGCATGACATCTTGTAAACAAAATATCCTTTATTTCGAGTGTATGTAGCGCTTCATCCTTCAATTGATAGATAAACATATGTCTAACCTACAGTTGAATAAATAATATTACTTAATTATAAAATATACATATATCTACATAGTTGGAAATTAAACAAACGCTATCACACATCTGTTATTATAAACAAAACAAAAAACAAAAAAAGGGGGAAAAAACATTAAAATGATAATTATTATCAAATCTATTCAACTAGCGCAAAATATGAACAAAAGAAATATTTACGCGGGTTCTCCGGAAAAAGGACATGAACAAGAAGACCATGTGTTCCGGAAGTGTAAGCGTCTGCTACTTCATCGACGACACCTGTTATGTAAACCGTAGTCATGTCACGTACAATGGAACCCACAAGTAAACTAACGAACACCAAAACGACAAGCGTTATATTGCATGCAGATATAGACTCTTTCTTAGTGATACCAATATGGTGACTAGTATTCCAGCGTGCTTTCATCCTCAACTGTCAATGAACTATGCACTTCAGCACACCGGGTACACATATATACGATAGTCAATTTCGTCCATCCAGTTTTTCTTTCGTGCACACACCGCATATCGTGTAACGTTAAGCGATCCCAAAACTATATCTTTGACCAATGTCATCGTTTTCATCATTTTACATCAGGTAAATCTCTTAGCATCATATAACGCTTTACAACTCGCACATATGATTATTAATTTTATCGTTACACTGGGACATGCTGCAGTTATACTTTCCAGAGTCAGGTGTATTACTATAAGATAAAAGGGATGCAACTTGTATAGAACATCAAAAATCAAGTTAAGTTCAGACAAATATAAAACCTAGTTATCTGATACTCCACACGAATCAACAAGAACATAGATTGGGTAGTAGGACAAATGAACAGATCCCTTAAAATCCGACTGTGAACTGTCATAGTCCTTAATGTGTTAACGGAGAGGATGAGGAAGACAAACGGAACTACTAAGACCCTATAACAGCATTTTCGAGTATGTTTAATTCTGAAGAGTATTTAAAGCATAAACACTGTTGTCAATTTAAGATAAATTGGTTATCATAGTTACCAACAGTGTTCCTGGGAGGGTTTTAAAACACAAAAAATTCATCGCACAAAGTCCTGTTATCATCCTTCTATCATATTAGCAACATTTGTTCTTGTGGAGCATTCCAAATGGACATTGTGGGTTCGGGAACAAGAAAATACCGACATCTAAACGTAATCAAAATCAAAACATAAATTCAGTGCTGTCAAATGTCACAGCTCTTGGTTGATATGACGATGAATGAGAGGAACACTATATGATACCGTATTTCCAAAACTTTGTATTTTTTCTTGAATTTCCATCAACCTGGTTTTATGGATTATTATTATGGCCCTTTGTCTCGGTGATCTTTACAATCTTGCATTGAAACTCAGTACCAACGTGCAATTAATTATGGGTTTCAGTCTTGACCAACTAGTACCTGACATTCTAAAACACCATAAGTATACATCATCATAATACAACTTTAGCTTCATGAGGTTTGTTATGCTTTTTTCTTTTTCGATTCGTCAAGTATTCAAAATAACTAACGAAAATTATTAAACTAAGGTGACAGCTTATCCCTTCCCTTATATATTTCTTTATAAAGTCCGCATTTTTACTCACTTGCAAGGTATACTTCAAAACTTTGGCCCTAATGTCACTTATGAATCCATGATGAAGGAAACAAATACAATTACATCAACACCGGACTTTCGTCAAATGATAAAAATGTGATAGAATGAGCATTTATTTAGATGTTTTTTCCTAATCCTAGCCACGATGTTTGGGACAATGTTTTTTTCGGCATTGCGGAAAAGGAGGCATCCGAGATGGACCCCCAGCAGCGATACGTTTTAGAATGTGTACACATGGCACTAGAGGACGGCGGGATCACAAGAGCAGAGCTTGATGGTTCCTCAACGAGTGTTTACATTGGCGCCATGAACAGTGATTCTAAAACATCAAAAGACGGAGACTATTCTTTGATGACCAATTACTCCGTGACTGGAGATTCTGCCAGTATCATCACGGCACGCGTGTCATACACCTACAATCTATTGGGCCCTTCCATTACTATTGACACCGCCTGTTCATCTTCACTTGTAGCCGTGAATCTGGCCACTCAGTCTTTGAGAATTGGTAAGTGATTTCTAAATGTTTTTTAAAATGTTTTTTGACAAGCTAACCTTTATATTTCTCCCCCATTTTATTGTTTGTCGACAGATAGGGTTTTAGAAAATCATGAATTGAAACGCCACGGTAAGCCAAATGCAGAATATTACAAACAGTTGGTTCAAGAGTGCAATTACCTATAACAGGCAATGTTTTTACTCTTTTTTTCACGATGCTGTTAATAATAATCAGCCTAATTTACAAATAGAAAAGGTTATTTTATTCATCCTTAGTACTTCGGATATGACCGCATCAGAGGGTAATTCTTATAGGGAAATGAATGAATTCTTAATGTAATAAACACGAATTACTCAACCAGAGCAGTTAATTATCATATTTTAGCAAGAATAAAAATCTAATATACGTAAATAGAATACAGAATTAAGTTGTATATTTTACATAATGAAAGGAAAAAATGGTAGACTGTGACTAGAATTAAAAACAAACGCTAAGACCTTGTCAGAGCCATCACGAAGCGTCTGCCAATGATATACCTTGAAAGGCTTATGATTGCATATATCTGAAACGTGCATACGATGCACCTTCCTTGTCTGTATTAACTTAATACATTTTGATTTTGATTTCATTATTATTAACGACACAGTTTTTACATCATTTTCTTAACGATTGATGAAACATCTGTCCTCGAAATGTCCGGCGGTTTACGAGTTCCATGAGACATTCTGTTTTGCAATTATGCATTACAATTCTTTTATTCGAATTGATTAACTTCTTTAATTTACATGATTGCTATTGATTCATAAAGATAATGTTAAATCCATTTCAAAATTATGTCTTTTTTTCTGTTTACATTTATGCATTGAATTATGTATTTATGTAAAGAAGTCGTCTGTTAACATGTGTAGGTTGAAATGTAAAGTGTTTTAGATAATAGAAAACAGAACATTGGAGCATACCCCAAACTATTTAAATAACAAAAATAGTCATTCAGAAAGGAGATGAGATTGATGACAAAATTGTTGCAGATGCTGCAAAAGCCGTTTTTACACTTTTTATGTTTGCTTCCACGGAGAGAAAGATATGTTATATCTCGTATTTTCTAACGTCCTTTAAATCGTACATGGGTAAGAAAATGGTAATTTGTTTCAGGGATAACGCAAATGGTTCATTATCAGTCGCAAGACTTTCAGACGTGCATCGTCTACAAAAAATACATTGGATTCGTGATAATAAGTTGAGAAACTGAACAGCACTTCAGAAATATAATGAATATTCCCTTATTACAGTTATGGTCATATTGGACTGATGTATGACCAGATAAGGCAACAGACGTTTTCATCTTTCAGGCAGATGTGAATTAAAGTCATTTGGTATATTTTTCAAACCGGTATTTTTCTTCATAGTTTAGTGAACAAGTTATTAGGACAAGCAAGTGTTATTGATATACAATCCTTCACTGGTGTCTACAGCGATTAAACAAAAAATCAAATGCAATTTGTGGGAACAATATAGATATTAAAGATTAACTATAATAATATTAAATGCATACACACCGCACGTAAATAACTACATTGATTTCAGCTAATTTTAGTGTTGTATGATTTTGTTTATATCAAGTATACCACCATTCACCGGACCATACAAATATACATCAACATATTTTTGTATGTATCTCATCGCACAACATTGTGGATAAACGTATTCACATTACTGCTAAAACTGGTGAATGTTGTGCTTTCGCTTGAATAAATCTCTTGTCTTAGAAAGTCGTGGTAAATAAATCTTGACAATACCTTCATGCATTAGTGCGGAGAAGGTAAACAGTTTATAAACAAAAAAAAAAAAAATACACAATATGATAACAAGGTAATGTTGTTAATACGACTACGTTTACTTGGCAAACTGTGTTTCGTTGGTTTCCTAGACACATGGGAATACTAGGTAACAAATAGGCAGGGCATGCCGAAAAAGCGTCTTTAGTTCCACCTGTTCATTTTTAACCTTTTAAAATTGATTTCAAACTGCTTATGAACCCTTCTGAAATATGAAACTGGCGTGGTGATTCGGAGCAAAATGTATACTACTGGTAACTGGTCTCCTTGTTATAGACCAGCGTCTAGACGAGGTTGTTATTGTCCGCCTGTGGATAGATCATACATATATTTCACATTTATACATACCGAATAACGAAGACCAGGATCAGCGCATGGCATGCAATGCCATTTTAAAATCAAAACCATCTTATTGCACTGCATAGATTTTTTATTATGCAAGTTTAACAAAATGTAAAACATCCTATTATCATTTGAACATAATTCAATCTTTATGACCTTCAATAGCGGTCAGTCTGTTTTTCAAGATACAATATCCCATGTCCACTTTGTTATTGAAAACTGATTATATGCGACTGTTTTAGCACTGTTCTGAAGTTTTGTCTGTTTAGCTATGGACGTTTCTCTCTGATCTATTTTGTCCCTAGTGATATTTGACATATATTACATTTTGAAAAAAGACAAAACGTTTATAATGTATATAGAACATGTGCATGTAATTATATAAATAATTAGTTTACGAATTGAGAGAATCTTTGTGTGTTTGTTAGTTTGGTGTTTAAGTCCAGTCAACAGTCGGGGTAATTTTGGGTTGGGATTACTTTATGGCTTCCCGACATAGGGAATGCGATCGATACACATCCAGAACAGTTCAGGTAAAACATCTCATCACAGGACACACCCACAACAGCACAGAACGGACGTGATATCTGAAAAACAAAACATAGTTTAAGTACTTTCCCACCTCCGATCTTTACAATTGTACACGAGGTTGAATAGTCCAATATTCTTCAATTAAGCTAACGCGTTCTCCGTAAACTGTATATTCGGTTAATAGTTTTGAGGATACAAAGATAGAATTATACCGCATTAGAGCAGTTTTTGAATGTAACTTTTTTTCGAAAACGGCATGTCTTAGAATTAGATACTTAAATGTTTCTTTAAAATGATACGTTTTTTTAATTGACCCCCTTGAATTGATATTCAACTTCACGATGCATATTTCTGTATGCTTTGCCCTTAATAGGAGAGTCCTCAATGGCAATATGTGGTGGTGTCAACAGTATTCTATACCCTGACATGTTTGTCACCCTGACAAAGGCCCGGATGGCGTCGCCGACTGGCCAGTGTCAGGCATTCTCATCCAACGCCGACGGATATGCACGGGGAGAGGGATGTGGTATCGTTATTCTAGAGAAGCTTTCTGATGTAGGTTATTTTTTTTCTTTTTAACTATTTCTTTATATGTACCATAGTGATCGCCATACAAATAAACATATTAAGTCTTCCTTGTCATTTTGGCTTAGTACGCTGAAATAGTCTTAATTTGAATATGTCTCAGTCCTACCATTTCTAATATTCTATTTTTAAAACTTTGTATTAAAATATGTTATTTATGCAAACATTCTAAACATATTAATTGATATGAAGACGACAAAGGGAGTTAATCCAGTTTTAATCAACATATGATGCTAGGACTTGAACGGACGCTCAACTAAACATGCTGTTGCTCAACACCCTAACTGAAACAGAAATAATCATATCTAATTAGAAATGCGATTAGTTATCTGTCAGTTAAAAAGCTCATAGTAGAAAATGTGATTTCAGGCCTTAAAGAATGACAGGAAAATATGGGCGACCATTCGTACGGGCTGTAACCAAGATGGTCAAACTGCAAAGCCAATCACTGCTCCGTCGGAGATCCAACAGAACCGACTTCTTCACGATATTTATCTGAAATCCTACCACCTCGACCCATGTCATGTTCAGTACATCGAAGCACATGGTATGTGTGTTGAAAGGCGAAGATAATCCTTGATGCATAGGATGTAATGAACCATTCACAATTAAACACTTTTTATTGGACTGCATTGATCTTCTGTCTATTCGAGAAACTGTTTATCGTAATGTTACAAGTCTAAATACCCCTTTTTAATCTGTTGAAATTAATAAAATTCTAGGTTATCTGAAACATGTTGGTCTATATAATAGCATATGACTTACGATTTTAATCTTTTGTTATATAATAACCATTTAAGATGTTTTGCATTTGTCTTTTACCTTTTAGTTTGTTTGAGGTCATTTACTTTTTGGATGGTCGTTTGTTTTACCGGTTGAAGGCCCTAATGACTATGTGTTGACGGGGCGTTAAGACTGTCATGATAATTATAAATAACATATGATAGATGGTTCGTCAAGTAAGATTTATTTTTTTAAAGTTTGTAATGGAAGAGCTCCACCATCTTTTCAAAACTAGGACGGGCTTAACTTAAAGGGGTTGATAGATAACGCTTGTTTACGTTACTATCATCACAGCTGGATTTTCGAAACTTACATGTGACTTTGTTGATAGCAACGTAAACTATCCACCATTACAGTTTGATATCCATGTCTTAAAAGTATACTTGCTAAGTAATTTTTTTGAAAAATATAGCAGCAATGAATATATTAAGTGCATGAGCTTCCCATTTCTACAGGTACCGGGACACCCATCGGTGACCCTGTTGAGGTCAAGAGCCTCGGAAGTTTCTTTAAGAAATTTCCAATACAGAAGCATGAAGAGGGAAGAGAGCGATTTATTGGATCTGTCAAAACCAACATCGGTCATCTTGAATCTGGAGCAGGTGTTGCAAGTCTTGTCAAGACTCTTTTAATGATGAAGCATGGCAGAATTGTACCGTCACTTCATTCCCTTCCCCGAAACCCTCGAATAGATTTTACCAGTTATGACCTCGATGTGCCAACGTCAGTTCACTCTTGGCCAACACTACACGATGGTACCAGAGCTGCCTGCATCAATTGTTTCGGATTTGGTGGTACGAACAGCCATGCTTTTCTCAGGCAATGGGTTGAAAATGCGGCAGATGTAGAAAATGGTACGAGCAATGGTGAAAAAAAGATCTGTGTGCCTGTGTCTGCGAAATCCCAGACATGCCTAATTAATACTATCAAGCATATGGCTACAGCACTGACGGAGGAACCATATGAATTAAAACAATTGGCATACACCGCCTCGTGTAAACGAGATCATTATCGATTCCGAAAATTATTCGTAGAATCTAGTATAACAAATCTAATCAAAAGTTGCAATAGTGTGGTAGAGACGATGGCCAGCCGTACAATTACACCAAGTAAGAATTGTAGGATAGTCTTCATGTTCTGTGGCGTTGGGACAGCATGGACCAAAATGGGAATGGAGCTGGTAAAAGACTTTCCAGTTTTTGCCGATACCTTGAAGAATATTGACATACATCTTCAAGTACTGACCGGTTGGTCGATAATGGCAAAAATACGAGATGGTGCAGAAATGGATAACTGCTTTCTGAGACATATTGGTATATTTGCATGTCAAGTTGGATTGTCAGAACTATGGAAACATTGGGGAATCTATCCTGATTCAATTGTTGGTCAATCTGTAGGTGAGGTAGCCGCAGCCTATTGCAGTGGGGCACTGTTGTTGAGTGATGCTGTCAAAGTTATATACTACAGGTCTAAAATCCTTGCAGAAGAGTCAGGCGGTAGAATGTTGGTAGTACGGAACATTGATACTTCAAAAGTAAAAGAGATATGTGATAGAATAGGTCATGTCAATATCGCAGTATATAGCAGTCCAATGGCCTGCACAATATCCGGTGATGAGGAAAAGGTAAACGAAGTGAAAACTCTAATACCTGATGCCATGATGACTAAGGAAATCCCAGTATACCATGAGTTGTCTGTCGGATGTGCCTATCACAGCTATAAGGTCGAAATGGCCTCTCATCGCATTCGAGAAACTCTAGAAGGGATGAAAGCTAGTGTACCGGAAATACCTATGATATCCACTGTCACAGATGAAATAGAGGAAAATTTCTGCACACCAGAATATTGGCAAAGAAATGTCTCAGAACCGGTTAAGCTCTATCACGCACTTCGGAAATCAACAAACGAGATGCCCACTATATTCCTTGAAATTGGCCCAAAACCTGTTTTGAAGGCTCACTTGACTGACATATTTGATGATGAGGATGTCAAATCTATTCCCTCTATGAAACTAGATAGTGGTTCATCACAAGTCTACGTCGCTCTTTGCGAAATGTACTCGCTCGGTATAAACCCTCAGTGGGAAAACATTGTTGAGAAAAACAACCTATCAAATCTCCCTCAGTACCAGTTTGACAGAAAGCGGTTGATGGTGGAGTCAGACTATCGCTTCCTCAGAAAACATGGACTAATTGATGACTTTTCAGGTCGATACCTCATGTTAACCCAAAAAGAAAAAGAAGGGGAATTTAAAGTCAACATAAGCCCAACCGCCACTCCTTTCGTGTATGATCACGTGATAGATGACGCTGTCATCATTCCAGGCGCTGTTTACACAGAGGTCGGTTTTGAGCTCGGAATGAGCGTGATGGGTATACCAGCAGAAAGTATGTGTGTTGAGTATGATATACTCCGAGCTATTCCATTGTCTAAAGGTAAACCCTCTTATCTTGATGTGACGTCTGATTTAACAGAAACGAAAGATGGCTCCACCATGGAAATCACCTTTTCAATTTTCAAAGATACAATAATCGTTGCAAAAGGATGCGTTACAATGAAAGATAGCATACAAAATCTGATGATACCGATTGAAGATGTTGACGTACGCACTGGAAATTACATTGAACATGAAGAGATATACAGTGAACTAGCAAAGTATGGGTACAAATATGGTCAGTCAGTCCAGGTTTTAGAATCAATAACATTTGACAGAAACGAATGTACTGGTGTTATACAGCTCACTGAAGAGGTGGCAAGACAAATAAATCAAACCTCCTTTCATCCGTCTATCCTGGACGCAATGCTATACTCAAGCGCATTGAATTTTCTCTCAAACCAAACAGAAACTTCCAATAAAATTTATCCTATCCGCGTTGGCAACGTTTCCGTGTTGAGACCTTTCGAAAAACGAATGGTGTGTTATACGCGAACAATACAGAAGGTATATGATCGGATCCTGACCAATATAATCTTAACTAGACCAGATGGTCTGGTACTGGCTGAGGTTAAAGAAATTGAGCACCGGATCATGGACGGCAGCATAGGAGTAAACAACCTTGCTTATCAGATTATCTGGACTGAAGAAGACATTTCAAAGATTGACTGCAATACCAATCAGAAACTAGATGAAAATGTCACTATAGTATATGACGATGCAAGTGTTCTTGATACACTAAGGGGTCTTTATCCACTGGGAAAATCATTCCGATTGTGTGATGTTGCAAATGACACCGCTTCTGCGATATCTTCAACTGACTTTGAGGACGTTGATTTTGTGATGTTTGTTCCAAATCCCAACGCTGTCAAACAATGCAAAGATACTGACGATATACTTTATGTTTATGAAAACTGTCAGGCTTTTCTCAATATCATGAAAATACTAAAAGATGTGCAACAGACAGTGATAGTAGTAACTGAAAACACACAAAGCTACGATTCGGAGACAGATTATCTTAAAAATTTCTCAGGAGCAGAGTTATGGGGTTTTACCAGATCTTTACGACAGGAGGGAACAAAATGTCGAATGCTCCTTATCGACGTTCAGCCTTCAATACTCTCAGAGACAGATACATTATACAAAACAGTTCGAGCTCTTACCTCAGGTCAGGCATATTCATTTAAGGAATTTCTCATCGTTGATGGACAGTTGCACAGTAATCTGCTGCGGCGGAGACCACAACGTGGCTTACAGGATGAACACAGAATATTATGTACCGACAAACAACTTGACCTCCAGTTACGGTCCACTACATCTGACAAAATCGAGAGTCCCTTTTTGATTCCCGGTGACTGTTTCTATGAAGCAAGGAAGAACGAAGTTTGCCTTCAGGTTGAAGAAATATGTATTCACTCCCCAACTGAGTTTCGCGTTACGGAGTTGGATTCAAGTCTCGACAAATCACTTTGGTCATACTACAGAGATGGTTATCCAGTTGTAGGGTTGGAGTTTCAAGGAACTGTACAGAATTCAAAACATTCTAATGGACAATCTACACACGTAGTAGCGTGCTATCCAACTAGAGTTGCAAATCGGATATCAGTGCCAGAGTCATGTGTATGTAACATACAACAATTGCCAAACTACACTCCCGGTCTCATCATCAAGGCCATGATGATGTGGTCCGTTTCTCAAAGAGTCAAACGTAAGTCTAGCGTTTGCATTGTAACAAATACTGATCCTTGTGATGACATAGAAGTTATCATTCTCCGCAAAATGTTAAAAACGGTAAAACGCTGTCGTGTTCAAAGTAAATCAATAGACTCTTTTAGCAATAATATTGACGACGAGTTTAAAGGTAACGTGTTCATAGTACTGGAGAAATATACAAAAGCAAAATTAGCATGTATCATACGGCCAGGAAATACCATTATAGGATTCGACGATGTGATATCGTGCTTATCAAATCAAGCCATTCAGCTGAGTTCAAAACAAATTAATATTCGTTGTGTTTCAAAGATGAATGTGTTTGAAGAGCACAACGTTCTTAACACTTTCCCACAGGTAAAGCAGTGGTTGACAAGGCAGCAAAAACGATCTGACTTAGTTAATGCTCACAAATATATGAAACAACAGACTCTCAAATTAGCAAACGCACAAGATGAAGGAAAACAGGGAATGGACACGAAAGCGATTGAGAACAGACTTATTCACAATAAAGCCATTTATGTGGTAGTCGGTGGACTGTCAGGACTGGGCTGGGAAATCGTTAAGTGGCTAGGTCACAAGGGTGCTGGCGTAGTAGTACCACTATCAAGGAAAGGTCATAGACCAGAAATGTACGAACAGCTTCAGAACGCAATGGACATACACAAATATGATATTGTACCAATGAGTTGCAACATAACCAATTATACGGAAGTTGAACGATCATTTTGTGCCATCAAGGAACTCTATCCCAATCATCCAATAAAGGGAATATTCCAAGGGGCAGGAGTGCTACGGGATACACGGTTCGAAACCATGGATATGGAAAAGTTCAAGGAAGTGCTTCAGCCAAAAGTGTTAGGGACATGGAACTTACATCTCGCATCAAAGGATTTATTGCTGGATTTCTTTGTTATGCATTCATCTATAACCTCTGTGTTTGGAAACGCTGGTCAGACAAATTACGGAGCTGCTAATTCCTTCCTGGATTCATTGGCCTCATACAGAAGATCAAACAATTTGCCTGGGCAGACCATCAACTGGGGTGCATTGTCGGTGGGTATGGCGAGTGACGAAAGCATCCAAAACAATTTAGAAGCACAGGGGTATTATGCAATTGAGAAAGACAAGATCAAACAATGTCTTATGGATTCCCTCATGCGAAATCCTGTTCAAGTTATCTATGGATCCTTTGATTGGAATATCATAGGTAAAAAACAAGCCATGATGAGGATCGATATGGTTGAGAACGACGAGTCTGCTGAATCCAGTAAATTAGACAACAAACGTGTTGACAAAGTGGTACTTGACATCGCTAAATTCATGGAAACATCATTTGAAGAACAGCGAGAGTTACTTGTAGACCTGATGTTCAATAGTGTCTCTTTAGTGTTATCGATAGATGAGAGCGAACTCGATGAGAAACAAGACCTTCTGAGTCTTGGTTTGGAGTCACAGAAAGCTGTGGAGTTAATCCAGATGATGAAGGAAGCCACAGGCTGTCGTCTTCCTGTTGCATACATCCTATCTCCAGAGTATACTATTGGCATGCTTGTTGACTTTACACATTCAAACATTATCGATAACTTTAACAAGGAAGAAGATGGAAATTTAGAAAAGAAAGAGGACGTAAAGGGATCACCATCATGGATGCAAAAGTTTTACATTGACATGCACGATAGCAATCCAAAAGAGCCAAATTTATGGTTCAGCATCGATTTCAAACTAGGAATAGGTCTGTCAAATAGCGACATATGGCGAACGGTCATGCGATGGATAACAATTAAAAATCCTGAACTCAGGACAATGTTTCATCTTACCAATCACCGAATCAGATTTGGTATGAAAAAATATGTTTTGGATCCAGAGGATGCAAAAGTAGACCTCCGTATAGTTGATTCATCTATGCTGAACAGGGAATGGACAGAGCAGGATATTGAAAAATATTGCACATTCGATATTAGCACGGATCCACCAATACGCGTTTTGTATTGTGACGCAGGCAAGAAACACCGCATCAGATTTATCATGAGTCACGTCACATTTGACTTACAAAGCTTCTTCACATTACTTGCACAATTTCGGTCCCATTTTCTGACATACTTTTATAAGAAGGATTTCAGCGTGACTCCAGTTGAAAACTTGGACCCATCCGTACTGATGGAAGAACGTCTGGATGCAGAAAAATTTTATTTTGAGCAGTTCTGGAGAAAAGAACTCCAAAAGATTCGTTATGTACCGTCTCTAGTTGGATCTGTTGGACCTGTGCCTGCTACGGAAAAGGCAGAAAAAGTAGTTGCGCAGTTCCCGATTGAGCTGGTGAACAGAGTCATTTCAAACGGCCATGGTGTAACAGCGCCTATCCTTCTGTTCTGTTTGTACCAAATTCTTCTACACAAGATGACGTGTTTATCCGCAGTTCCTGTTGTACTTACGGTGGACATGCGTCAACACTTCCCGGAGTTCGTTAGCAGAATATTTCTAGGAACCAACTACATACCAGTTATAACAGAAATAAATGATCCAAACGCCACCTTACGAGAACTCATTTCAATTTGTTCCAGCCAGGTGACACTCAGCGGCACGGGCAGTCTATATCCATTTTCCCTGATCAAGCAAAACGATGCTTACACTAAGAATAGTTTCCGTCACTTCTTCAATGTCAGAGAAATGTCTTTTCGAGGCGAAAGAAATGAAGAATATGAAGAGTACTATATGGAAAATGTAGGCTATACCACAGACTTCTTTAACGATATAGAAACGGCATTAAACGTGATGACAGATCGCCAAGCAGGTGCTATAGAATTGGTTTTGAGTTACAATCCAGCGATAATATGTTTGTCGACAGCACAGAGTATGATCGATGATCTGTTATTACTGACCTGTGTGAGTGTGACGAATTCGGATTTCCGACTAGATGATATCCCATTACTGTCATGTGTATCTGATGCTTCAGGCAAAATGGACCATCATCTATCGACCGGTGAGTGTACAAGCCAATGTTCTTATGCTGTCAATATTATATAAGGTATTAGTTGTTAACATTTTCTGTTAAAAATACTTGCTAGATTTATTTTTTTAAAAAATAATTTTAAACAGTTTTCATTGTAGTTATTATGCTACCACAAACTTAATCGCAGTCCTTAATGACAGTACTAGTTGGTGTCCTCTTTTCACCCAATACAAAAAATGGGTGAAACAAGAAAGTGCTTTGTTGGATTTACTTTCATAGGCTCGGTAAATAAAGAAAGAAACCCCACTTGTATATTATGCAATCTTTCAAAAGCATAAATACTGGCTACTCATGCTTTATTATGCTAAAATGAAATTAAAAAGAATGGTTTTCAGATATTGTTTCACTTTATTTCAATTTTTAACTTTAGAAAAATATGGTTTTGCTCGTATGCATTTTATAGCCTCTTTACCAGCCAAGATCACTACAAAACAGGGTCTTCTTGCAGTAGCTAATTGCCACATAAGTACACAATATACAGATTGCACGTCGCATAAAATCCCTAGCCATGAAGGCAAAGTGTCTAACCCCGGGACAGAAAACTACAACAAAACAGACTGGTCAGTTTCTGAGCTGCTTTGAAACTTAAACAGTCACGCTAGTGTGTTTGACCAGGGGGTTACAAGAAGGTGGACCTTTGATACACACACTTTTGGGTGCTTTCCCCGTCCAAGACATAACTGTAGTCTTTCGTAATGCGTCAATTGCTTTCTGCTTAACATTTGACATTGTGATAGTGTAACGTCTGTTTTGCCTTAGTCCAATACATACATCAGAGGTCGTCTTTTAATTATCCTTGCTGTTGTTTGGACGTTAAACAATATACGATAAAACAATCAAACATGTTCCATATATGTTAATTACGCGTTTGTTAAAGATACCGTTTTCACGTGAAAACTATTCTTTGAATTAATTTCTTGTCGAACATATTCATAACTTAGTAAGGTCTGATAAATAGGACAGTAATGCTATTGAAAAGGAGGCTGCAATTTATCTTCAAACATGAACAGACTTCTACTATTTATCAGTTCAAAATTCCAGAACGATATATATATCATATTATTTGTAATTGTGTCTAAGAAGAATCCATTAAAGCTCAACAGAGGCTCTTAAAGATGCAAAATACTACGAAGGGAAGTCTGGTAAATGAAAACCAATTACAGATACTTATGATCATCTAATGTTGAAATAATTAATAAAATATGAATTAATCTGTTTTTTCTATTTTTTATCTGCAGTTAAGTTTCTGAAAGAGACCTCAAACGGTTGGGAACATCCAGTCCAGTTGAAAGTTAACACAGAGAAAAATGTGCCTCAAATATCGTGGAAAGATCCTGATTGTAAGAAAACGTCACTTCAAAGCAATATTCCTATTACGAACGTAATTGGAGTTGACACAGAAAAAGTCAATGGTAAGTATCCATGGAGATACTTATGTAGCACCAGAATTGATGTTAATATAAGATCACAGAAAAAAGCCATGGTATTCCGCCTTTCTTCCAATGTGTCTTAATGGTAATTTCAGAGAAACATGTTATTGACTGAAAATGCCATCAATAAAACAACAATTTTGATTAGATATATGTTATGTTGCAGATTCATGGTGTCTCATTATACAGACAGCCAAGAGGCAGTATTATTTCAAGACCAGCGACTTTCTTACTGTTCAAAGCTGGAGAGCTAAGATTCGAAAACTGGTATCTAAGATCTATCAGATGTCGAAAAAAAGTCTCCAGAAAACGACGTGATGGTCTCCTTGAACGACTTAGTTGAAAACGAAACGATCTCATGAAAGTTTATAGATTGATTCATCCCATTCATTTCCAAGTGAAATTTATAATAGATACAAAAATTTGTTTTTTGAATAAAGGATGAAAAAATCTGGAAATGCTAAAAGGGAATAAGTACATTGGTAGTTTTCGACGACAATGTCACGTTTTCTTTAAGTTTATTTTACCTCGTTTAATTTTTGTAATAATCCGCTTTCTCCATATGCATAACCCGCAATTTGCTAGATGGTATATTAGTTATTGTATTCCTAACTCAGTTGCTCATTTGTGTATAAACAAAAAAGATACATTACTACAAGAGTAATATTTCAACGATGTCCCATTGTTTCCAAATCTGTATGTAGTTTGTCCTGTTTATTTGCGAGCTTGATTTTTTACAGTCTGATGAATTACTGGAGATGAAGAAATAATGTGAATGTCTTCGTTGGTATCAATTTTAGAAATTGTTAAAATAAAGAGGGATGGAGTTGGAGGGGAAGGGGTGCGTGGTTCTGTAATCAAGAAAGAATTAAAGGTTGATTTTCCAAGATGCGAATCTAAACTGTTGCCTTGGAGTAAATCACAAAAGTGTTCCAAAATTTAGAGGCAATAGCAATGCTACTAAAAATTTGTGCAACATCGTTTTCTATATAACGAAGCATCAGACTTGAATGGAAAATTAACGGTGATATGCGAGAGAATTTTAAAACTCTCAGTTATTGCATTAAGTTGTGATCACTAACCACAAATTGTGTCATAATCGGAAACACTGTTTATCATCATGCCAATAATTATATTGGGCAATGGGTAGGCAGTGTTTCTACATATAATTTACAAGAACAAAGAATAACTAGATTGCGTGATATAGGAAAGAACTTAGAGCCGGTGAAAACTTCTTTGTGTTAAAGATGATCCATCACGTTGTCATGTGACCTGTCACGTGGAACAATAACTGTGCATTGCTGCGTACACAGTATTATACATGGAATATCGTTGTTTAACATAAAATAAATAAATGAATGAATAAATAAAATATCTACCTTACGCATTCATATATGTTAAAAGACGATGATAATCTTCCGTCTTCTGTCTACTCGAGTATTTTTTATGGTTAAGTCACAAGTCTTAAGAACCATTTGATATTGTTGAGATTTATAAAAGTATAACTTATCTTAAATATGTTGGTCTATATTATAGAATATTACTTATCATTTTGATATGTTTTGATGATATAGTCATTTAAAATTTTTAGCATTTGTCTTTTATCTTATAGTTTGTTTGATGTTATTTTCTTTCTGGATCGCTGTGTGTTTCAACGGTTGATGGCCCTAATGACCTTTTATGGCCGTTAAGACTAATGAAAATAATAATAATGCGATCTTCAGTTTTAGGAAGATGACATTATTAATGAATCTTTATGTAGTCATTGACACTCATGTTTATTCGTGTTTCACAATTTCTACCGATGTTAGATTGTCTTGCTTGTGTTTTAATACATTGGCTTTTTAGTGAAACTTCATACAAAGTCACAGTCTTCGAATTACCGTAGCTGCTACATTGATTTCACTCACGAGCTAACGTGAACCAATATATTTTGTATGATATTGCAGAAAATCATTCGTTATGAATTTATTATATTTAGAGATGTGGTGTATATAGTCAGAGAAGCATATTTATATATCGTTGTATATTTCAAAGCATTCTAAAAATACATATGAATCAAAAGTCTTGCGAATATCGAATATTTACAAATAATAGAGATTTGACAATTATATATATATATATTCACGATAGAATTCGCAAAAGGAAATGGAGTTTAAAATTAATTACATCTCTTTCGTTTCGTTTAATTATAGAAAAAGGCGCCCTGAATAATATTGAGTAAAGACCATAATAATTTCATATCAGAGTTTTGCCAGTGAAAATAAAGTAATAACTCTTATAAAAAGTGATAGAAAATTATACAATTTTATAGATATTTTTTATCTAGCATAGTGATGTTATCTAGTCATGTCATTTTCGTTAAATTTTGCTATTAACATTTGGCCAAACGGTTGATCAGTACAACATATGTACACACAAGATACAACGTGGAATACAAGATGCAAGGCAAAGGAATTGACATTTGGAGTAAGATATCAATTCTGTTACTAAATCGATTTCATTCTCTTCCCTTGGAATGGTTTCACGTTAAATCTTACATATATTTCATATGTATAATAATATATATTTATATTTTGTGGTACTCGTAAACAATGATGCATTAGATTTGATATTGTACTATTATGAAGTAGAGTTTTGCTTATGTAGGGAAGGCGTTCCACTTTATGAAAACATGTGATATTATACGGAAAACTATTAGATTTTGAATTTTACTATTATGAAGTAGATTTTCTTTCGCTAGTGTAGGGAAGGCACTTGACTTTATAATAAATATGTATTTATCTGTATTAAAGATAACAGTCTGTTGAAATTCTCGTATTCGTGTCATTCTGATGCATAAATCGCATCACTGATGCGTGTTTGTTGTATTGGTAGTTGAGAATGCTGTAGATATGAAGACTTACCTTGTTCTACTAGGATAAGAGATGGTCTATTGCAAGTCGAGCTAACTTCTCGTTTCTAAATGTTTTGGATGATAATTGTGTGTTATTCTAATTCAAGTAATTTATTTGTTGCAAGGTTTTGAAATTTCTGTACTGTGTTCAGAGAATTATTATAACTATTGTATATTTGTCTGAGCGTGAAAATGTACGATAAGACTTTTTAATGGATATATGCAAAGTAAATGATCGGAACATATGTGCTGTCAGAAATAATTATTTTCAATTTCGGTCAATATGATGTTATATCGACCTCATGAAAGGTCAACAGTTGATAAATATTTAACCCGGAGAAAACAAGAAAATAAAATTATTTATAAAATTAGTGATTTCATCTTTGCATTTACTTCAATCGTAATTCATATTTAAGTAATGAATGCTATATTGGTAGGGAAATGCCCGTTATTTATCAGAGAAAAATATTGATTTATCAAGCGTTCATTCAAGTACAGCACAGATAAAAACGATATTCTGTCCTGAATTAAGTGTGTGACGATTTGAAATGTCGCGACGTACATCTGCTTAATGTTTGACTAGACAAATGTGAACCCTATATATATGACATATAACACCGACACATGAAACGTGACATGAAATTTAAGTTAAGGACAAATTCAATGTGGCATACCTGTCCGTAAATTAATGCATGCGAATTTCTTTATTTTGACCACCCTAGGAAAAAGCAGTGTTTTATTTTAGACAGAAAATCGTATTTTTAGGTTATTTGACGTTAAAATAAAAATTATGTTCAGCAAAGATGTGTCAATGAAATACTATGCCTCCAGCTGCAACAAAATTCTGAAATGGGACATTAAAACTGTACATTGTAAAACATGCACGATTTGTAAAACAATGATATCGTCATTGTGGTAATTATGTTGTGGAGTCCATTATTCAGTCCAGTAAGCCAAAAAAAAAAAAATAAAAAAAAAAACGATATCCTGTCCTGAATTGCGTACTTGATGATTTAAGATGTCACGATGTAATATAAACGAGACAAATTATAACATTATGAACCCTTTAGGTATTTCTTATAATACTGACAAATAAAACATAACAAGACATTCAAGTTAAGGAGCAAAGAGCATTTTAAACAAAGATGTGTTCATTAAACATCATGCCTCCAGTTGCAACAAAATTCTGAAATGGGAAATTAAAACTGTACAGTGTGAAACATGCACGCTTTGTTAAACACTGATATCGTCATTGTGGTAATTATGTTTTGGAGTCCCTATTTTAGTCCGGTAAGCAAAAAAACCGATATCCTGTCCTGAATTGCGTGCGTGACGATTTGAGATGTCACGATATACATATACTTAATAATAAATAAGTATGAAAATGTGAACCCCATATATATACGTTGTATAGCAATGACAAATAAAACTTGACAAGACATTTAAGTTAAGAAGCTAAGAGCATTTAAAAAAAAGATGCTTTTATGAAACACTATGCCTCCGGTTGCAAAAACCAATTAACATTAAGTCTGTAATTGCATGCACATTTTTGTGAAACACTTAAGTCTTGGTCATGGTCAAGGTTGCACGGTAAACAATTTCGGTACCATCGAAAAGGTCTTATCACAAGTAACACTCATGCCAAATATCAAAGCCCTACCTCTTACGGTGCAATGGTTATGAGCACGGTTAATGTTGACAACACAAAAACAGATAAAAAATGCCCCCGATCATTTGATCCAGGGGCATAAAAACAAAAGTCACGCTAATGACATTGGAGGCTTTCTTAAAGGTAACAAAATTAGCCCACTCGAGTGACACAACACATGGTTACTTAATATGTGATATCTCTGTTTAGTCACAAAGCCATGTGATTGGTTATACAAAACATCTAAATACCACCCAATATTAGACGCTTTCATCAGAGTTTGAATGTTGTGTCATGCTGTGATCCACTTATCTGTTCACAGAGCCAAAAGGCCGTTCTTTCCCCCTAAATAACATATCTATATATATATGAAATTCTTTCTCCCCTCATATTTGTCATTGGAGCCACTAGAACGCTTGATAAATTATCATAGACGCAGGAACAAACGAACGAAAATGAAATCTATAGTCCCAAGGACACCAATAATATCAGCAGGAAGATTTATAATGGGACTAGAGGTTTCCCGGAAGGGTAAGCGTCTTCTGCTTCATCGACGACACGCGCCATGTTAAGCATCCCGAGTAATTAGTGTCACGTACCTTAAATAGAACAAGACAATGGAATCCTGCAAAATACAGGCATCCAACTAATACATCTTCATCTTGCAAAAAGAAATAGTCAAATATCTCTCTATAACATAGTAATGAAAAAACTGGAAAAAAAGTCATAACATTTTTTATCAACCTGCTTCTCTCGGGTGAGTTTGCCTGTCAG